AAAAGCTTCCTTTCTCAACAACCACCCAGGGAAAAATAACATCCGGGGAAACAGAAGCAGAAATTCCAGGGGAAAGGTCCCAACTCTCTGGCTGAGAGCTCACAGCCTCTCAGCCTCCCAGCAATCAGAGGGAAAACAGCCCTGAAGTTTCGAAGAATTCTCGAAGGAAGAACAGCATTACAGACCCACGGAACTCCATCTGAAATATCTTCAAGCCTCGGCTGGTAGGTCTACTCGATACCCAGACGCATTTGGAATCGGTAGTAGGGCCCACACCGATGAGGCATAGATAGTAAACAGCCTGGGAGAGGCTAAAAAGGGTTTTTCCTACAAAGAAAGTTCAATTAATCAAAGTCAGGCGCCAGTCCATTGAGGACTAGACTAAGAAAGCCTTGAAGTGTTGTTTGAACCATTGAAGATTTGTTGTTTGTTCCACAATAAAGACTTTGTTGTATCATTAAAGACTCTAAAGATCATCACTTCAGAAATATCCCTGAGAACCTCTCTTTGAGGCCCCTCTGGCTTCCCGTTGGGCTTAAAGTATACGTCCTATAGAAAAAGTACAGCTGTTACAGGCCCAGCGCGCGACAAAACACAATCAAAGCCCTCCCAACAGACGGCCGTCCAGCTTTTGCTTAAAAACCTCCAGAGAAGGAGACTTACCAGACTCTCAAGTAGTGTGGGAAAGGTGCCTTCAAAGAACATCCAATCCAACCCATTCCAATCTCCAAAGAAGGAGGCTCCGTAGGCTCAGAGGCAGCTGTTTATGTATGAATGAATGCCGCATAAGGTTTGGAAGGAGCCTCCAAAGGCCATACACTTTTGGGTCGTGGGGGCTCTGTGTGCCAAGTTTGGCCTTTATTGGTCACTGGATGGTGGTCACAGTGGTTTCAGTAAGTGAGTGAAAGTACTGCAAATCCCATCATCCATGGTCCATCCCCCTTAGAACTGCTTCAGGATGTAGAGTGGGTCATGGGGGCTCTGTGTGCCAAGTTTGCCCTTTATTGGTCATTGGATGGTGGTCGCTGTGGTTTTAGTAAGTTAGTGGAAGTACTCCAGATCCCATAATCCATGGTCCATCCCCCTAAGAACTGCACAAGGATGTAGAGTGGGTCATGAGTACTCTCTGTGCTAAGTTTGGGCCTGGTCTGTGATTTGTAGGGGCTGCAGTGTTCTGTGGGAATGGAATTGGGAGAAAGTACTACTAATCCCATCATTCGTGGCCCATCCTGCCCTAAACCTCACCAGGTTGTAAAGTGGGGCATTGGGCCTCTGTGTGCCAAGTTTGGTCCTGATCCATCATTGGCGTGGGGCACAGTGCTCTAAGGAAGTGAGTTAAATAGTGCAAGTCCCACCATCCATGGTCCATCTTCCCTCTGGAGAAGGAGGCTCCACCGGCCTCAGAAGAGCAACTGGTGTGTGAAGGGATAAATGCATCATAAGGTTTGAACAGGGCCTCCAGAGGCCATCCAGTCCAACCCCTTCTGCCAGGCAAGAAGATACATTGAAAACCCTCCTTAAAGATGGCCATACGGATCTCCAAAGAAGGAGGCTTCATTGGCCTCAGAGGCAGCAGTTGATGTGTGAATGCACCATGAGGTCCTTTAAGGGGTGTTCTGGTACGGCTGTACCAGGAGCTCCAAATTTATTTGCTTTGTATTAAATGTTTGCTTGCAGTCCAAGGTTTCAGGAACTCTGCAGATAGGGACTCCTTTGGTTGCAGTCATAGGGCAAGTCACCTGTCCATCATTGTTAAGCTTTGGTTCCGCCCCTTGTTCAGGGCAATTGGGAAGGGAAGGGAGCCATTTTTAGTTAGTCTCAGCAAGGAAAGCTAATGTAGAGGACGTGTGCAAGCTTCTCCTGTACAAAAGCTTCAACCCTTAAGACTTTCTGGGGGAGAACAGTCTTAAGAGCATCCAAAGATCTCCAAAGATTTCCAGGGAAACAGTTTGGAAGACCACAAAACTCCAGCTGGAGAATCTATTAGCCTTACTGGTAGGTCCACTCGGTGCTCGAGATGCAGATCGACCCGGTAGCGGAGCCCACATCAGGGTTAGATTACAGTCAGCCTGGGAGAAGTTAAAAAGGGATTTTCCTTAAAGTAAAGTAACAGTTATTGAAGACAATTGCCTGTCCTTCGTGGACAAGATTAGGAAGCCACCAGTTGCATAAAAGCCTGGAAGTATTTGTTTAACTTCATTGAAGACAAGAGAAGTTTCTGTTTGATTGTTCATTAATAAAGGACTTTGTTATACTTCACAAGCCATCTAAAGACCATTTGTGGTGGAAGATCCCTGAGAGCTTCTCTTTGGGGGCCCCTGGCTTCCCACTGGGCAAAGGTTCCATGTCCCATTTTAAAGGAAATTCTTTACAGGCCCAGCACACGACAGAACAAGGGGCCTCCAGAGGGCATGCAGCCCAACAATCAAAGCACTCCCGACAGATGGTCATCCAGATCTCTGGAGAAGGAGGCTCCATACGGCTCAGAAGGGGCCTCCAAAGGCCACCAAGTCCAACCACATGAAGCCGTGCAGGGAAACCCATCCCAGGCCTTCTCAACGGATGGCTATCTACTAGTCTCTGTTTACAAAAGGAGATGCCACCAAATTTCGAGGCCGTCTATATTCTACTAGAATTGGAAGGGACCTCCAAAGGCCACCTAGTCCAATCTCATAGGCAGGAAGACACAACCCAAGCCTTCCTGACCGATAGCCACCTAATCTCTACCACTTAAAGGCCTCAGGACAAGGTTGTGTGTCTCTCCTGTAAAATGTTTCCAAAGTCCTGACATTTCTAGCAGGACTACAAATGCAGCAAACAGGATATTTCTAGGCATGCATGGTTTCCAGCGTCTTGCTCCCTGGAAAGTCCTGGGCCAAGTCTTTGTATCAAGTGCATCTACACGGTAAAATTAATCCAGTTTGGCAACACTTGCACTGGCTCAAGGCTCTGGAGCCATGGGAGTTGTAGTTTGCTGGGGGTGCCAGCTCTCTTTGACAGAGACGGCGAAAGGCCTTGTCAAACTACAACTCCTGGAATGCCACAGCAGTGAAAGAGATGGCCATTTGGCAATGTAATCCGATGTTTGGAGCCAGAAAGGGATGCCTCCCCACCTTCCCCAAATATTTGCTCTGTCAATCGATTGCCATAGCAGTTTGCCATAGAGGTATCGCAGCGTGATCCCACATTAACTGCTTCAGGCCCATGTGATGGGATCCTGGGATTTGTAGTTCTGTTCCTCCTTCTCTGCCAGAGTGTTATTGCACCATCCCCCCCACCCCCCCCCACCCCCAATTAATCCAGACCTGTAGAATGATTACTAAAGGTCAGTATGGATCTCTCAAAAACAAATCGCTGCTCTGAGTCGCCTTCAGGCTCATATGAGCGGGGTAGAAATAATGCAAATAAATAAATAAATAAATAAATAAATAAATAAATCATGCCACTCATGTGATCTCTTTTTTGATAGATTTACAAGCTTGGTAGATCCTGGGAATGCTGTGGATGTAGTATATCTTGGTTTCAGGAAGGCCCTCCTTTGACAAAATCCCCCATGACCTTCTTTCAAGCAAACTGGGCAAGGCTATGCTTAGGTAGATCTGTAATTGGTTGAGCGACCAAATCCAATGGGTGCTTCTCCCCATCCTGGAAAGCAGTGACTATTTGGGGGTTCGTTCCTGGTCCCTGGTCAGGCTCTTTAATAAAGACTTGGGTGAAGGTTTAGAGGGCATGCTTTTCGAGTTTGCAGACGGGACCAAATTGGGAGGAAGAGGAAGTTGCATCTGTCAAGTAGGAAATTTAGGTACCACTTATGCAGGGAGGCTAATTTACGATGCCATAAAAATCTCCAGCAAGCCTGCAAAGAATAAGGAAGTACTTCATCAGTGTCACAAATGGACGGTGAAGCAACAGCTCCCCTAGTGGCCAGAATACCCTCATGAAAAAGCTGGAATGTTAAATAGCCTCTGTGTGTCTGTCTATATATGTTGTGTGTCTATGGCATTGAATGTTCCATGTATATGTACACTGTAATCCACCCTGAGTCCCCTGCGGAGTGAGAAGGGCGGAATATAAATACTGTAAATAAACTGTAAATAAATATGTAGAACTTGTCATTTGTGTCACATGGGCATGACACAGCTTCCTTAGCCACTCCCATCACTTACTTAACCCTTCTGTGGATTTGAGTAATTCCCCATGTTGAGAAAAAAAGATGTATTTTTTACATACACACAGTAAATCATGGAGTTGCCTTTTGAATGAATACAGCAATATCTGACTAACAAGATTCTCTAGAGATTCCTGGACCAGGTAAGGCTGAATCGGACACTGTCTGAATCACCGAGGGTCCCTTCGTGGTCGCCAAATTTGCTGAATGATTTTGGCTACTGCAAGAACTGCTGGTTCGGGACCCAGTATGTTAAGCTCCAAAGATTGAACTAGTTGAAGGAAAGGAACATGCCCTTTATTTATTCACTTTGCCCAAAGCAGATGCTCTTAGAGTTGAAATGACCCAATGCAAACATACAGAAATATTTATAGGACTTTGAGATCTGAGTGCTGATTGGTCCATCCTGGGGCCAGCTAAGAGCCATACACTTAACTGTGGCACTTGGTATGCCATTGCAGATTGGCTTGTGGTCCTGGTAGAAACGTTAATAAACTGTTATTGTCAAACAAGTGTGAATGTTGCAATTAGCCAGCTTGATTAGCATTGGCCTGGCTGTTGTTGCCAGGATGCATCCTTTGTTTGGGAGGCATTAACAGGCTCTTGATTGTTGGCTGTCTGGAATTCGCCTGTTTCCAAGAGGTGTTCTTTGCTTCAAACAGACCAAAGTTCTTCGTCCCACCCTGAACATTATTCCGCAGGTATATAAACCCCACTTGCCTCATTCCAACAAACCTCTGAGGATGCCTGTCATAGATGCACGTGAAATGTCAGGAGAGAATGCAGCTGGAACATGGCCAGTCAGCCCGAATAACTCGCAGCAACCCAATGATTTCAGCCATGAAAGCCTTCAACAACACACCGCAGGTGTACATTTAACCAACTACAATAACAAACACGACAATTGAGTACCTATTAAAAATACAAATTGTAAGCAAGCATAATGTGGGTGGATGGGTGGGCAGGCACGTCATGCCCATCCTCGGCCAGGGCTAATGTCTCCTCCTCCTCCTGGTGGTGGTGGTGGTGGCCAAACTGCTGGGGCGGCGAAAGGAGGGTTGGGGCCACTCGGGGCTCTCCTGTGGCCAGATGCAAGAGCGCTGCCGGTCAGTCCAGAGCTGGTGGCGGAGGAAGCTACGCTCCGAGTGACCACGGGGGGCCCGCTCCTCGCTGAAGCTCCTTCTGTGCAGGCGGCTCTGGGACAGGTGGCCCTTGCACCGAGCACACAACAGCGGAGGAGGCATGTCACAGAAGAGCACTGCAAGAGAGAGGAAGGGAGGGAGAGAAAGAAATATTAATTTGGAACAATTATCACAAAATATGACGTATGGTTTGAATGGACTGTTGGTGGAAAACAACATGTTTACATTACCAAAGACAATGGTTCTTTTATGTAAGGAAGCGATTACAAAGTTTGTTACATTGATGACCAGAGACAAATGATTAACTGTTGAACTCTTGGTGGGAAACAACATGTTTACATTACCAAAGACAATGGTTCTTTTAATTAAGGAGGTGTTTACAAGGTTCCTTACATTAAGAAGGAAGCAAACAATGTTCCTTAAGAAGGAAAATCAATTATCACTTAAAGAATGAAAGTCAACATCTGTCCATCATGGGACTCAACATGTGAAAGAAATATTAATTTGGACAATTGTCATGAAATATGATGCTTGGTTCAAATTGAATTGTATGGAAGATGTACGGTTGGGCCTGGAGATGCCATCCTAAGAAATAAGGCCTGCAAAACTACTGAGCTGATGCAACTGTAATTAAAAGTTGCTTAATAGCAGACATTAATGACCAGAGATAAATGATTAACTGTTGAACTCTTGGTGGGAAACAACATGTTTACATTACCAAAGATACTGGTTCTTTTAATTACGGAGGTGTTTACAAGGTTCCTTACATTAAGAAGGAAGCAAACAAGGTTCCTTAAGAAGGAAAATCAATTATCACTTAAAGAAGGAAAGTCAACATCTGTCCAGGAACTGATGGGAGTCAATATGTTTAGTCTGGAAAAACACCTGTCAATCATTTACAAAGACAATTGGAACATCAGCAAGAAATATTGCTATATAAGAGACCTTCTAATATTCCAAAAAGTGTGGCAGGCAGCTGGTCCTGTCACCCGCCATGCTCTGCTCCATGGGAAGGAGAGAGTTGAGTCCCCATGGGGGAGAAAGGCAGGATATAAATAAAGAGGGGTCCTCTCACTTCTGCAGGAGTCTCCCGTGTACCATGCACCTGTGGACAAGTCTCCATAGGGACCCCCAAACGCAGCAGCATTGCCCAAACACGAATCAAGGAACATGAAAGGCACTGCAGACTACTTCAACCAGAGAAGTCAGCCATAGCAGAGCACCTGATGAACCAACCTGGACACAGCATATTATTTGAGAACACAGAAATGCTGGACCCCTCTCACAACCACCATGTCAGACTACACAGAGAAGCCATTGAAATCCACAAGCATGTGGACAATTTCAACAGAAAGGAAGAAACCATGAAAATGAACAAAATCTGGCTACCAGTATTTAAAAAAACTCTAAAATTACAAGCACAACAACAGAGAGGAAACAAACAAGGACATCTAATCACCTCTCAACAAAAGTTTGCTCCAGGCACTGTCAGGCCATTATACACTAATTAAGGTTGTCAGTTGAAACATTCCCACCTAGCTCCAGCAGACAAGAGTCCTTTGTCCCACCCTGGTCATTCCACAGATATATAAACCCTTCCTAGTTCCAACAGACCTCACTACCTCTGAGGATGCTTGCCATAGATGCAGGCAAAATGTCAGGAGAGAATGCCTCTAGATCATGGCCATATAGCCCA